GTAGTAGTTGTCGTAGTAGTTGTCGTCGTCGTCGACGTCGTCGTAGTGGTCGTAGTCGTAGTCGTAGTCGTAGTCGTAATCGTAGTCGGAGTCGCAGTCGCCGTCGTAGTCGTAGTCGGAGTCGCAATCGCAGTCGTAGTCGTAGTCGTGGCCGTAGTCGTCGTAGTCGTCGTCGTCGTCGTCGTAGTAGTAGTAGTAGTCGTCGTAGTCGTGGCCGTCGTCGTCGTCGTCGTCGTAGTAGTAGTAGTAGTAGTAGCAGTAGTAGTAGTAGTAGTAGTAGTAGCAGCAGCAGCAGCAGCAGCAGCAGCAGTAGCAACAACAGTGAGTGCAGCCCTACGCCCTCAACTTTTCAACCCTATCCAGGAGCCCCTGGACACCACTGACAAGGGTTATCAGCCTCCCCTGGACGATTCCCTCGTCAAGGAGTTTGAGCCGGAGGACGGAAGGGGGCCCGAACACCCTAACGCCCTGCCTATAAGGGCTCCTTTGAGAGTCACAAAAAGGGCTCCTTTAAGATCCTTTAAAGGGTTCCTTTATGGGATCCTTCAGAGCGGGGGGGTCCGAAGGGGGTATGTGGTCTGGCAATCCCCACTTCTCCCAAGTACTCCCAAACATTCCCCAAGGTTACCTAACAGTAAGAATTCCTTGTAGCCTTCACCCCTTTGACCCAACCTCCCTTCAGGATACAAGAATACCTGGACCCAAAACAACCTACCATTAAACGATCCTGCTACAAGTATAGTATACTATATCCCCCACACCCTTTTCCAACTGTCGTCCTCCTATACTTTCAAAAGCTCTACGCCTCAAGTTTTAACGTCTTTGAGCCGCGATCCTCAAACCATCAAACCCTGTAACCCACACCACCCTAAACCCTAAACCCGTTCAGATGCCTTGTACAACTTGTAATCCCTTCGAGCCGGTTCCGAAAGCTCTAATTAGGGTTTAGGGCTTAGGGAAGCCTTAAACCCTAAAGCCCAAAGCCTTATAGCGCATTATGGTAGATCCCTTGATGAAAACCCTCAAAGGCAAACTCAACGTAAACCCTAAGCCGCAAGCCCGGTTTCGGGGACCTTCGAAAGAGCGTTTATCCGAAGCTCCGAACCTTAAGCCCTACACCCGAAACCCAAAACCCTAAACCCAACAACGCTATGAAGAATGAAGAATTGGAAAGGACATGGTTCGAGGCAGAGGGAGAGGCCTCGGCAAAGGCGGGACACTTGGAATTTAGGGAGTTTAGGGTTTTGAGGGCCTACGGCCTCAAGGGGTTAGAGGGTTTCGGGGTTAAACTGGGCTTTGGAGCGCAAGCGACGAAAAAAGGCCCTTACAAAAATACAAAGCCTAGACCAAGAATGGCTGGAACTGGCGACTGATGTGACTGATCAGGTCTGCACATGGGTAGTTCTCTAAATTTAGGCCAGAAAGGGTGCTTCAGGGGTTCAGGGTTTAGGGTTTAGGGTTTTAGGGTTTAGGGTTTAGGGTTTAGGGTACTATTTTGGGTTCCTAGAACTTTTAGGGGCTACCCACATGTCATCAACCGTTTTCAACTCCTCGCTACTTATCTTCGGGTCAAGGGTTGAATATACAGGCGCCTAAACACTTGCCGATAGTACTCTTAGGGGTTCCTGATTTCTACATACTTATAGTATAACATAGCACCTCAAAGCCTTGTATTTATGGTTCAAACCCTAAACCCTAAACCCTAAGCCCTAAACCCTAAACCCTAAACCCTAAACCCTAATGCCTGTATTAATGATTCAGGCCCCTACAGTGGCGGTTTAGGTGTTATGGCTTTGAGGACCTGCGGTCGGGTCTCGTGTTTGAGGTCAACTTCCCTTTAGGGTTTAGGGTTTAGGGTTTAGGGTTTAGGGTTTATCTGGCATGTGTTCCTTAGCCATGCTCGTGTTGCATCATTTCAGCTCTTGCAGACGGCAGCTCGTACAAGTGAACGGAGACTCAACCCTAAACCCTAAGCGCTTTATCCAGCTTCAAAACCTACTACACCCCCATCCCTGGCCACTCGTGCTGCGCTTCACCTGGTACACACATGAACATAGCACCCTAAGTTCGGATCCAGAAACGATAGCAGGATATCACCTGCCACAACTTCCGGACCACTGATTAACGGATGTCGTGCAGCTGAGCAGTGTCTAAGAGAGTTTAACTATTTAATAACTATTTGGCAACTTCCAGCTCACCTGATGGCCCTGAATCTAAACAATGCCTGAATGCAGGTGGTCGCGGCAAGGGCAAGGGCCGCGGACGAGGGCGCCCCTGGCTCCTTTTGTCGCGTTTTGATTGCATGGGCCTCCCGTTCCGAAAAGGGAAATCCAAAACCGCACCGCGATGCCTGTCAGGAAGGGCAAGGGACGCGGCAAAGCCGGGGGCTCTGTGCAGCAGCAGCCAGTGTGTGCCAGTGCAGTTCTGTTAGGGTTAGGGCTTGGGGTGTAGGGGTTTGGGGGTTTAGTAAGGGTTTTGTAGAGCTTGGGGTTTTGAGGGTTCCGAGCTTAGGGTCCAGAGGTTTAGGGTAATACAGGGTGGGGTTCCTTATTAATTAATTGACTAATTAATTAATTAATCAATTAATTAATTGATTGATTAATTAATTAATTAATTAATTAATTAATTAACTATTATGTGTATGTATGTATATATATATATTATATATATATATATATATTTATTTGTCGTAGAATGGACCCCAACCCTAAACCCTAAACCCTCTTCCAATTATTAAGGCGTCTCTATTATGGCCTGCAACCCTGCAGGGCAAAGGGAAGGGAGATGACGAGGAGCCCAGGAAGGGCAAGAGCAAGGGGAAAGGCCAGGTCTGTTCCTTAGATTTGGTTTAGGGTTTAGGGGTGTATAGGGTTTAGTTAGGGTTTAGGGGTTTAGAGGTTCCTTAGATTTGGTTAAGGGTTTAGGGGTTTAGGGGTTTAGGGTTGAGGTTTTAGGGTTTAGTTAGGGTTTAGGGGTTATAATGTACCCAGACCCTATGCGCTGCTTCAGCCATCAGGCTCGCAGAAGACCACATTAGCAGCACAAGAGCAAGCAGTTTTGAAGCACCCTCAAAACAGAAGATGTCAAACGCAGCTCGCGCACACGATCTTGTGTGCAAAAAGCATATACGTTCGATCCTGAAGTTGCGATGATTTACCATAATCATCGGTTTCAGCCCGCAATCTACGTTGACCACCCTGAATAGGTTGAGCTACTCAATGACACCGTTGACTACATGAGAGTTGTTGTAGACCCCCGGCTCTTGACTGTGGACTAACAGCGCACTTTGATATTTTGATGCTGGTTTAGGACCTGCAACAAACGCAGCACGGCACAAGCGCGCACAAGGGCGAGCGCAAGGGGATAAGCAGTGTATAAGCTACCATGGTTAAGATGGTCTGCCTTGTATAGAGTCCGTTGCCGGGGACTTGACGAGCAGCATAAATCACTCCCTTCGTTGGTCCGGTCACGTTGTTACTTGCTGACGTTGCAGGGCTGGCTTGCAGTATTAATTCCCCCGAAGGTGGTATCATCAGACAAGGTCAGACCGGCATCTCTTTCAAATAATTGACAAGCAGGAGCTTTTGCATGAGATAAGGCAACTTATTCGCCGCAAGCTCTTGTCACAAGCCACAAACATCAAGAATGCGATCGGCTTCGTTTCAAAGTCTTTTGGTTGATTAGACTCCTGACTGACGCGGATGCCACGCCTGATCGGCAAAACCACTCCTGTCCTTATTGCCTGCACCAAAACGGAGATATTGAGCATCCCTAAACCCTAAACCCTAAACCCTAAACCCTAAACCCTAAACCCTAAACCCATATAGTTTGGGACTGCCCCAGGTTCAGTATGCCGATTGGGACCCGGGGACCCTGCACTAATCGATTCGTGCGACTGGCCATTTGCTAAGCATGCTTTATAGGGTTTAGGGTTTAGGGTTTAGGGTTTATGTAGTCTTTACTGACAACATGGATGCTATCCTTCAGGGACAATGGCACATTATCCACATCCAGGTCATGTTTCGCAAGTAGCTGTCACAAGTCGAACCGAAATGATACGAAAAACAGGGCTCTGCCCTAAGGCCCTAAACCCTAACTCCTAAACCCTAAACGCAATCCGCCGCCTGCCCCCTTGCTCTGCGCTACCAAAACTGACTCAAAAGCGAATGGCGACCCACCTGACATCAAAGTCAACTGCGCTAATATTAGGGGCCTTAATGGTTTAGGGTTTAGGGTTTGGGGGCCTAAAAAATTAGAATGGGGTTTGGGATATATCATACTTTAGTTATAATAAGGAACCCTCACAACCCTGTTCTAATTATTACCCCTAGTCTCCACTGTAGTTCCTTTTTTGGTTTAACCTATTACATATTAAAGACTTTGTAAGGCATCCCCAAAAAGGAACTACAATGGAGACTATAGGTAAGGTCCCTACAGTACTCAGCTTCCACTTGGCGCGTGGAATAACCTTATACTTGACGAGCCGCAAGCTAGATTACCACCCAGACCTGGCCTCAGGGTTCCTTATTATAATTATAGTATAATGGACCCCAAAACCCCACTCTAAGTACACCCTAAACCCTCAGAGTAGCCCTTCTAGAACCCTAAAAGGAACCCTTTTTGAAATGTTTATAGTATAGTGGACCCCAAAACCCTATTCTAAACATCCACCCAGACCGGGCCCTCGCTCACTTTTCAAGGCTCTGCTGAGACGATTTTCACGCTTTGCAGCCAGCAGTTGAATGGTTCAATCCTTTTCCGGCTTTCCTGACTCAGTCACGAGAGGTTATGTTCAGGAGCCCAGTTTTCCAATATCCAACCTTGAATGGTTCAATCAATCGCAAATTCAATTCTGAAAATCCGACGCGCTCCCACCTGATTAAGCCTTGTTGGGCTTCTGATGAACAGCGCGCTCGCTGGCGCAAAAGGCAAACGTTTTTCACTGTTCCGCGAATCTGAGCCGAAAGTGTCCAGCTGATACGGCTTGACAATCACAGGTGAGGCACAAGCCTTCTAGATTCCTTTGCCCGAACAGACATCTTGTCCGATCACAGCCAAAAGCTATTCTAATTAACAAGGTCCCCATCTTATCCCTTAGCCCTAAACCCTAAACCCCATCTTAGCCAGAATCCAGAAGACGGCCATCATGCTTCGCGTTGCCCCGTCAGGAAAGGGCAAAGGAAAAGGAAAGGGCAAGGCCGGAGTAGGGAGCATTCAACCCCCAACTCGAACCCGCAAGCGGTTTGGGTTTACGGCTTCGTCAGCCCTAACCCTAAACCTAACCCTAAAGCGGTTTAGGGAAGAAGCCTGCACCCTTGACCCTCTACCCCCAATCCCTACAGTTTTAAAGCCCACGCCCTGAGCCCTGAACCCTAAACCCAACAAGCTTCAAAAAGTCCCATAACCCTAAACCCTAAACTCGAAACCCTAAACCCTAAACCCTCCAACGCATAACCTTACGCCATGAAGGGACGCGACTACGATGACTACGACGACTACGGCGCCTCCAAGTCTAAGGGGAAAGGAAAGAGCAAGAGCAAGGGGAAAAGCAAGAGCAGGTGGGAGTTTTGAGAGTTCAGGCTTTAGAGTTTAGGGGTTTAGGGGTTTAGGGGTTTAGGGTTTACGGGTTTAGGGGTTTAGGGGTTTAGGGTTTAGGATAACCCCAACCCTAAACTCTACACCCCAAATGAGGAGATCACTTATCGAAAGAGGCCCTAAGTTTGGCATCACGGGTTTGAGACACTCCCTGGTGTCTTGCTTGCCTTTGGAGTCTATCCTAATCCCCAAAACCCTGAACCCCCAACCCGAAGCCCTAAACCCTAAACCCTAAACCCTAAACCCTAAACCCTAAACCCTAAACCCTGAACCCCCAACCCGAAGCTCTATCCTCTTGTGAGTTTGCCGAAGGTACGATGACTATGATGACGAGCCAAAGGCCACCTTTCGCCAGAGCTTCCGGGTGCAGATGGTCCAGAGTTTAGGGTTTTGGGTAGGGTTTGCTGTTGGGGGTTTAGCGTTTAGCGGTTTAGGGGCGTAATACAGGGGCCTCAAGAATTACCCCTATTATCTTGGGGTTTCTTAGTATAACTATAGTATAAGGGCCCCAAGACCCTATTCTAATTATTACAGCCCAGACATCAGGTTTATGGTTTGGGTTTTTGTGGCTTTCTGGTTTGGGGTAGTGTAGCCGTCCCAGTTTCAACCTCAGTTTGAACACCCTAAACCCTAAACCCTACACCCTTTCAAGGATTTAGGGCTTTGCATGTCAGCCCCACTCCTGGGGTTTAGCGTTTAGGCTTTTTTTGCGCAGCTTTCAGCGTTTAGGGTTTGGGGTTTAGGGTTTAGGGTTTGGGGTTCTGTCATTTTGCCTATCAAAACTGTGCTTTTGGTCGGCTCCGGGGCTTCTAAGTTTAAGCGTGACACTACCGGTTTAGGGTTTAGGGTTTAGGGTTTAGGGTTTAGGGTTTAGGGTTTAGGGTTTAGGGATGGCCCTAGGCATTAAACCCAAAACCCAAAACCCTACACCCTAAACCCTAAACCGCAAGCGCCGGGCAGGGCAAAGGCAAGAAGGGAGGCAAGAGCAAGGGAAAAAGCTCTTGGGAGGACCGTGTGGGACCAAGGGCCAGAGCCGGCTTGGTTGTGTCCCAAAGCTTAAGGTTAAGTAAACCCGATGCCCTAAACCCTAAACCATAAACCGTATTTAGGGTTGTGGTTCAAGGCAAGCTTATGGGGTTCAAGCTGTTGCCGCTTGAGGGTTTGGTTCAGAGTTTAGGGTTCATGGCCTGGGGTTCCCCTGCCTGTGGGAGCTTCCGATATTACGGGGGTACCTTATTTTGGGATCCTTATAGTAAGGATCCTACTATTTAGGCTATCATATTAGGCTTATTTTGTGATCCTTATAGTAAGGATCCTACTATTTAGGGTATCATCTTAGAGTCCCTAACGCTAAACCCTAAACCCTAAACCCTAAACCCTAAACCCTAAACCCTAAACCCTAAACCCTAAACCCAAATTCTAAACCGGAAACCCCCATGTCGAGCCAGAGTTCAGGGCGCCTTGGTCCCAACAGCTCTACTTGCAGGACTCGTACTCTGCGCCGTCAAAGTCCAAAGGCAAGGGCAAGGAGAGGAGCGACAAAGGCTGCTCAGTGCCAAGTGATGCCGAAGGTTCCGTGTTCATTTCTAGTCCGGTGCAGTCTGCAGTAGCCCCTTAACCTACGTAAGTGTTGTCCGACCTCGTTTCCATGCATTCGTTTCGCTCTGTGAAAACGCATGCAGCACAGCCTACCGCGGCGCGCTCTTCTGCAGGCAAGGGCAAGTCCTACAACAGCTGGGGCTACCAGGCACTGCGTGGGAAGATAAGCTCGGCAAAGATTTTCTGCCTTGCTGCCTGTTCTCGGCTCGAAAACTCTGAATCCTAAACCCCTAAACCCCAAACCCCTTCGACATTTCTCACCCGAAATCCTAAACTGCAAACCTCAAAGCCCCCAAGTCCTTAAACCGGTTTCGGGTCTCCCTAAACCCTAAACCCTAAACCCTAAACTCAAGACCCAAAGGCTCCCTGAAAACCTGGAGCGCCAAGTCCGAAACACTAAGCCTTTTATTGGCGTTCTTCTGGTTGGCTCTTAGGACCTTGGGGTTTAAGGTTTAGGGTTTAGGGTTTCGGGTTTAGGGTTTAGGGTTTAGGGTTTAGGGTTTAGGGTTCAGGGTTTGCGTTGTTTTGGGCTTCTAGATGAACTATACTACGGGTGCTAAATGTTTAACTTCTAGGAGGGGTTCAGAAGTCGGCCAAGCTTTGTCCGCGAGGATGACAGCTACGGCAGCAAGCCCAAGGGAACCAGCAAGGGCCGGGGCCTGAGTGTTTTTTTCTTAAGTCCCCGTTTCGAGTTTAGGGTTTCGGGTGTAGTCTTCAGAGTTTAGGGTTTAGGGTTTAGGGTTTAGGGTTTAGGGTTTAGGGTTTAGGGTGTAGTAAACTTCGAAGCAAGCCAGAAGGACTAGACGAGCTCCGACCCCAAATCCTAAACCCTCAACCCTCAGTTATTCAACTCCTCAGCCACGAGCACACTAGGATCCCAAACCTGGGGTTGCCTTTTGTTAGGTAGTATGATTAGGGGTACCCCTTAAAGGGCACCCCTTCTGAATCCTACTTTTGGCTCTCTTAAAAGAGACCTTGTTGAGAGGGTCTATATCCCCAAGGGTCCCCCTAATCCTAGCTCCCATTGTTTATCCGGGACCCTGAACCCTGAATCCTTTACTTTAAACCCCGAAGCCCGAAGCACTAAGCCGTAAATCCTTCATCCCAAAACCCTTAAACCCCTAAGCCTAAACCTTAGACCCTCGACCCCAGACCGTTAGCCCGCAGCCCTTAAACCCCTAAGCCTAAACCCTAAACCCTAAACCCTAAACCCTAAACCCTTAACCTCAAAGCCAGAAGCTCCAAACGCAAGCACCCAGGCTGGGGCAAGGGCAGTTCGAAGAGCGACGACTGGGGCATCCTGGCTCGTTCGTGGCGATGTAGGGTTCATATTAGGTTAGGGGTTTAGGGTTTAGGGTTTAGGGTTCAGGGTTTAGGGTTTAGGGTTTAGGGGTTTAGGGTTTAAGGTTTAGCATGTTGGGGTTCTGTGAGGGTTCTGTCTGAGTTTTGGTAAGAGTTTTTTTGGGCTTACAGGGGTATATGCCAAGTAGGGTGTACGTTAGGGTTGGGGTGAGTGTATACTGGGCTTCTTTGGAAAAATGGTGCGTGTATATTTGGGGTTTGTCATGGGCATGCCAGTACTGGCAACCCTATATCATTCAAGGCCAGCAAAGTAGAGTTTAGGGTCTTTATGTTTGGGGTTTGGGCTCTGGGGTTTATTGAGATTCAGGGTGTAGATGGTTCAGAATTCAGGGTTTCTCGGCTTTGGGGTAGAGGGTTTGCCAGGTTTGCGGGCTTGAAGTTTAGTGTAAGTTCAGGCTGCGCACAGCCCTCTTAGAGAAGCGTAGGCTTTTCCTCACTTTCCAATTCTCCGGAACTGGAGCCACAAAGTACCACCTTCCCCTAAACCCTAAACCCTAGACCCTAGACCCTAAACCCCAGGCCCGAAACCGCACAAGACTTACAATCCCAGACCTGAAAAGCCTCCCCCGTAGAAGCCCAAACGCCACCCCAAAACCCCACACTCCCAAATGCGCCCAAGTCAATCTTACACCCTAAAAACCCCTAAACCGCTCAACCCCTAAACCCTAAACCCTAAACCCCGAAACCCCGAAACCTCGAAACCCCGAAACCCCGAAGCTCCTGCCAGCTCTAGCTTTCACTCTCAGCTGCACCTCAGGCAGGTCGAGCAAGGGTGGCAAGAGCCAGGGCAAAGGCGCTGTTGGGGTCAACCCTAAACCCTAAACCCTAAACCCTAAACCCTAAACCCTAAACCCTAAACCCTAAACCCTAAACCAGGGCAAAGGCGCTGTTGGGGTCTAGGCTTGCACGGCTCAGTCTTTAGGGCCTCTATCTTGAAGCCTGAATTTGGGTTTAGGGTTTAGGGTTTAGGGTTTAGGGTTTAGGGTTTAGGGTTTAGGGTTTAGGGTTTTCATTCTGGGCTTTTTGGACTGAGCAGCTGCCGGCGATCCCGACGTGGCTGGAG